GAGGTCCCTTCCAAACCCTCACATTCTGTGAACCTATGAATGGGTAGTCAATTGAACGTCAGTTAAATAATGACATCTTGATCAGTCTGTAAAGATTCTTGCAGAAACAGCTTTATAATAATGAGCTTTAGTCAGTAGGCAAATTTGTAATAAACTATAGTAGTTGGAAGCTGAAGCTTGGTAAATCCAGCCCAGAGAAACTGTGCACATGGGTTACCATGTGTGGTGTGCTGTGGATTATCTGTTTTGGAAAAAATGCTTATATAAAATCCGAAGAGCTTTCTGAAAAGGTTTTGATGTGGATAGGAATTAACTCAAGGAAGTCTGTGGTCTGTGCCTTTTAGTACAGCTGCTCTCCATCACTGCGTGTTATCTGAATTCAGGGTTTACACGTCCGAAGGTATAAAATCTATGCCTATATTAGAAGCTAATTTGGACATATTTATTACAAAACTCAACTTGTGTTTTTGATAAAATGCTGAACAGCCACTGTTTTTGAAAGCTTTTAATGTTAGCTTGAATACTATATCCTTACTATGGACATCTGAGTGTTTTTTTCCTCAAATAACGTAGACTTATTTTGGAAATCTTTGAGAATGAGAATCCAACTAATAGTTTGAGATTGTAATAGAATAAGGAATAAATTAAGGAGAAATGTTTTGTTACTTTGTTCCTTTGAGATACTTGATTACTTCAGAGAATCAAATTATTTGAAAATAGTGTACTTTATTCAAAAGCCTAAACAGAATAATTGAATTTGGGGCAGCTGAATACAGACCTATTATTGTCATTTCTGCCTTAATTGACACTTTTTGTCCAGACGTGAAAATGTAAAAAATGCACTGTGAGGGGAAAAATGCTTGAACGTATATAACTATAACTTGAACATAAATGCTTTGTTAAGAAGTTCAAGTAACAGCCTTATTTGTCTTGCACTTTCAAACTGTGCCTTGTTTTATCATAAGGAAAAAAAAAAAAAAGTACTTCATGTTTGAAAAATGTAATGGTGAAATAAGAACTTTAAAATAAATCTCAACAAGGGAGTGATATTTAAGATAAATGCTTAGCTTATCACTTCTTGGTGCTTTGGAATATTTAATCTTCCAGCCTTGACATTCTTAAAATAGCTTAGATAATTTTCTAGACTCGTAGAAAACATAATCTGGGGCTGTGAGCCGTCCTTCTGCTCATAAGGCTTATATGGATAGCCACCAGTCTTGGCTCCCTTTACTGTGGTTCACTCTGAGGCAGAGGACATGTGACAAAACTGTCTAAGGGGGTGTATGTATTAAACAGTTACACAGGTTATCATAATATCTTTTTCTTTCTAGTCTGAGTGTCCAATTTTTGAAACCTCTGGCAAGTTATACCGTTGCTTTCCTTTTTTCTTACTTGTTCTGAGATGGGCAGTTGAATGGGAAACTTAGAAGAAAGGGAGTCAGAAAATAAGGACCAAAAGCACAATGCGAATGATCCCTGGTATAAATTTAAAGGGCCTGATGGGATGAAATTATATGGTGTTAAAGCTGACTGTAACTAATGATACAGTCGTCTTTGTCCAAGTTGAAATGCTTTTTATTTTAAGTGCCTGAATAAGATGGAAGAAAACTTTGAGGAACAATATGTTGACTAAACATTGGCTAAGGTTCAAGTAAATGGTCTCTGAATTCATGTTGTCATTGTTAGGTGTTGCTAGTCTGTGTGTTTGATTTAATTTTTTCATTGATTATTAGCTTCCCATGTGTAACTTCTCTATATTATTAGAAGACTTTAATCCTAATTCTGTTGTACCAAGTGCTTTCTCTGGAGTTGTGGTTAAAAATCTGTGACTTAAATTTGCCACTCCCTTAAGGTTTTTCCTGAATTAAATTTTCTAAATCTAGTTTAGATAGTTCCTTGTTTGTTCATTGTATTTAGATAGTATTAGATTCAAAGTCCTGCCTGCCCTGCTGCGTTAATGAACAAAATGTGGTTGTGCTGTGATTCTGTTTTCATGGTGCTTGAACCTCTTGAATCTTTGAAAATCTTCTTCATAGATTACAGGCTACTGTGTAGATACTGAACACTAAGGATTTTTTTTCCTAAGATTATTTTTGCCTGCTGGGAGGATGCATTCATGGGGTATGAATGGAAGTGCCACTTGCTTCAGCATTTTGTGTGTACATGAAGCATCCCCAGAAGGGTCTTTTTCTCCTCTTCTGGAATGATATCAGAATCAGTGTAATCTGTTTTCCACTTCAGGACAGGTTTCGTTTCTCTTTGTGTCAATTGCATTTTTTGCAGTGCAAATGTGCCTGCTCTTAGTTGTCACCTATTGTCAGATTATAAACTCTTCATCTAGATTTTATTGGCATGAGGATGTAGAGTCCTAAAAAGAAACTGAGATGGGCTGGGAAGAGATGTTCTTGGAACCTAGAAAAATGGGCTGCAGGAGTTGTGGGTTTGGGTTGTGTGTGGTTTTTGTTTGGTTGGTTTTGGTGTTTGTTTTTTTTCCCTTCCTTTTTGACATCCTTCATTTCTGAAATGGCAGCTTGTGAGCACTGCTGAGAAGGAAAACTTAGTGACTTTCTGGGGGAACACATAAACTAAATCTTCTTGAATGTCTCCAGCACACAAATAACATTTTCCAAATATCATCAGATATTACTTGTGGTAGACTTTGGCATCATGCAAAACTTGATGAGACCCTGACTTTTGCTTAACATACGAAGCACTTTAGAGATAAAGCAATTATGCTCATAACTACTATGCCCTAGAATTTTTGTGGACTACTCTTTTTTGCATTGCTGTTAGCTCCTTCCTGCTCTGAGAGGAGAAGCTGATGGCTACATACAGGTTCAGTGTTTGGACCCCATTCTTCTGAATTTGAACTTCTGAAGCTAATTTTCAGTAAATAGAGACAGTTTCCAGCTCTAAGGAGAATATTCTTCTGAGCTTCTTAAACTTTGATTTTTACCTAACAACCCATTTTGAAAATGGAGAAGGTGTTGGTATATAAATAAAGGTAGCCAGTGTTCTTCTATGGAGGTCGTGTATTTGGGTAGCTTGACAGGAGTCATAAGGTGTGAATCTGTACCTACCTAAAGGTTAATTCCTTGCTACTTGAAAAATCCCTTTAACTGAACACTTATGGGATTTCTCGTTGTTGTTTTCTCCCTGAAATGGAAATGAATTAGTAAAAAACACATTACTCATGGTGGAGAGAACCTACTGAAGATGTAAATTGTTTAAAAATTTGGAGCAGGAAAGTGTTCACAGAGTTGCTGTGTTCATCTGAAGAATCCTGTGGTGCTGAACAAATTAAGCAGAGGGAATTCTTTCTGAGAGCTTAGTTACTGGAGGTGGAGCCTGAAGTTAGGTGTGACTGCTGAATTGTGGTTCTACAAGATTTTGGTGGATGCATGTCCTGGCCTGCAGGGTAGTTTTCTGCAAGTCAGGAGCTAATCTATCCATGGCGTGTTCTTTCTACCTGAAACAAAAGTAAAGGAGATCGAAACATGCAAATTCTATGGAGAGAAGACCCTGTACAAGAAACCAATGCTGAAAGAACCTGGGTGCACTTGAACTTTTTCCTCACTGCTGGGAGACTGTTCTATTAGAGGAAAAAAAAATGCCTGAGAGAGGTTTTTTCAGCATGCTTTCTATATAGGTTATTATAGACATGTTTTCTGTGGCTTATTTTAAAGGGAAGAAAAGGCTCACAAGACCCTAAAACCAAGAGAAAATTTGCTGGCTCAGGTGACTGAAGTTGTATGAGCAGAAATTTTCCTTACATGTCTGAAGAGCTGACTTTTGAATCTAGAGTTTGTTTATTATAAGTCATGCTTTTAAACTATTCCTCCAGTGTATTGTGGCTCCTTAAAACTGCCTACAGAGATTCTAAAAAGAATTATTTAAAAGCTGTAGCCTAACGCTTACTTGTCTTCATCCAATGAAAAAAACCTTTATAATATTTTATCCTGACATGTATTAATTTGCTTTGTTACCTTTTTTTTTTGTTGTTCGGTGGGCTTGACCTATTGATGTGAAGATGAGGACTTTGTGAACTGATTTCTGATCAGTAGACCTAAGGATTTGTGTAATTGTATCCTAATATTTAGATTGCCACAAAGCTTAGCACACTTTTTTTTTTCTGGCTTAGATTTGCTGCAAAAGGGATGTTTGCAGTTAAAAAATGGAAGCTGTTCTGCCTTGTTCTCAAAAGGCTATTGCGGTACCTGCTTATGAACTCAGTGAAAGGTGAATTCATTTTAAATACTAATGCAGGCAGACTTTGCAGGAACAAATTAACCGTCCCCTGGAACTTGCAGGGATTTGTCTGTCTGGTATGATCACGAACACAAATGAGATGTGACGAGAGAAAGTTAGCAGTAACCTTTTCGGATGTGGTGTTTGTGTGCTGAAACCCGACAAGCTGGCAGGACTAGAAATAGCTTCCCAGATGGTGCTTGGCAGGGTACCGAGCAGCTCTGGCACGCTCCCCACCCTGCCTGTCAGCTGTGGTACCCAATGGCTGCTGAGAGATGGGAACGGCACTAGGAATTCAGCTCACAGGAGCCTGCGAGGTCAGACGTCAGAACTGCACGACGCATGGCTGAGTCAGTGACTGTGAGGAATTGAATTGAATTAATATCTAGAGGGGTTTGTGTCTTTGAACACTTAATGGACTGTATAGCTACCTTCTCTTATCCTTGAGGGGAAGACAATGGAGGAAAAAGTAAGGCTCGCCCGTGGTGCAGTGAACTACAGAAGAAATGATGGAAATATCAAATATGCCGAACTTAACAAGTAATGCCAAAGGATGCTGATCTGGCTTTCAAAGCTGCCTTTTTGGAAGGAACAGAATTCCTTTGTACTCTGATTCCAAAACTGTTTCCATGCTTTTGTGTTTCCTCCCTGATAGATACAAGAGGAAGGTGCGTATCTGTTAACAGGAATAATCTGTCTGCATTATTCAGGACAAGAGGAAAAGGAAAAGTACTGTCCTTTGTGTGCACTGGTCAACTGAAATGCCTGCTCACAAAGAACAGACTTCAGGGGGAGGAAGGGGGGCAGAAGGCTTGTTGTGTTAAGTCCTAGCAATATGAGCAGAATGGATTTCTTTTCTTCTGAAGACTTAAAGCACTGTATCTGTAACTTAGTGTCCAGATAAACCTCTATACCCCTATTCTACAAGTATTGATTGTGTGAATCATCCTAGGAAGGATTGGATCCAAATTTAAATTCTAAGAAGCGTTAGTGAATTTAAGTTTTAGAAGATAAAGAGAGAAAAAAGTGTGAAAGTCTTGGTTAATGTTTCACTGCTGTGTCTTTTAATTTAGATGAGGTTTTAGGGGGGTTTTGGGGTAAAAAATATATTGGTTTAGCACCATAATTCTGTGTAGAGAAGAGTCAGTTTTATAGAACAAGTATGTTTATTGGCAGTATTCAGTAGGATGCACATGAAGCTTTTGTATTGGAATACATGCTAATTGTTTTGGCAGTAGAATTAATTCAGTTTAATGACTTGTTTTAATCGTTACTAATATATTCAGAGCAATATGTTGTTATGTATAAAGACAAACTGAAGCTCTCCTTCCACAGATGACTCTAAAGCATCATTTCAAAAATGTAAATGCTCATCAGTTTAAAACAGCTCTTCCCTTAATGCAGAATAGAAAGCACACCAGTATGACAAGTGTGCCATTTTGATGGTACTCTTTCCTTCTTTACTTCATATTAAATAGGTTTATTTAAATAAAGCCTTGAGCTTATTTTAATTTCTTTGAGTCAGCTGCTTTTAAAGAAAATGCCTTTTCCCTTTGCAGAGGCAGAGTTTGCATGATCCCTGACTGAGGGGGAAAGTAAATCACAGACTTAAAGTTCTTGAATAGGTGCACTGCTAGTCTCCCAATGTTCATTTGGAGCCAGGAAAAACTGTATACTGAATTTCTGAAGATTGTCTGAATATACCAATATTCATAGGGTTGGTAGTTGGAGGTTTCTTTTTTCCTCTAGGAAAACAACCGGTAAAGCAAGACTCTTACCTTTCTTTGATGAACTTGTGGGTCACAGATGGTCTACATATATGGGGCTTTTTCCAGCTTTAGTGGATGAGGAAATGAGGCTGTGGATTTAAAATGATTTTTTTTTTTCCCTCTCCTACAGTTTTAAATTAAGTGCAATATGTTATTAAGCACATAGGAGAAAATTTGGCTTGTAGGATAGTGTACTTCAGTCATTGCCCATGGCTTCCACAGCACAGCATATGACTAGTGGTCATTGGCTGGTAAATTAATTGTAATTTCCATCAGTGTAGGTGGGTAGCTGTGTCAACACAACTGTGGAGCTCCCTAGTGAGTGCCAGTTTGGGTTGCCTGCATCCTGGGACACGTTTGTAGACAAAGAAGGGGTTTTGAGTTTCCCTGCAGAAACAACCTCCTATCCCCAATGGCTTTGTTAAAGGGGAAGAAATGATGCTGTTAACAAGTCCTCATATCAAAAATACCCAAATGAGTAGGTTGTTCTGATGTCCTTTTTTTTTTTTTTTTTTGAACACTTCCAACTTCTAAAGCATCTTCACAGGAAAATATAAGCTGCAGGTCTCTTTTATATGCTGACTACAGAGGTAGCTCCTTTTTTAGATTAACTGATGGAGTAGCTCAGTGACACACTTTTCCTAGTCAAATACTGCAGGGTAAAGCCAGCGGCTGCTGGACAGGCTAGATTCCCCCTTTATTTTCTCTTTGTTCAGATTTAAACTGTTGTCTTGTTTATTGTACAGCAAGGTTGTATTTCAGTGGTAGTATTACCTGAGTACACATGTTCTCAAGCAAATGGAACTTCAAATTTTTTTTCAGGTATATATCCAACAAATCAAAGAGAATTTTGTGTGTGCTGTGACTCAACGGTGATTAGATTTAAGATGGACATTTTAGATGGTTGGTGTTAAGGTGAGTGAAGATTCATGATTCAGATAGTGCTGTCTCAAGCCAAATTGCTTGAATTCTGAGAAATCTGCCATTCTGGCTTGTATCTTTCATCTTCTGGTTAATAGTGTGCCAGCCTCACAGTTAGCATTAGTCGGTATGTTAAAGGGAGAAAAATACAACGTAGAGGGAAGCAAACGAATGGTGTGGCCAGCTGCAATTTGAACAGCTCTTCAGAATTATGTACTAATCTATCTGCTTCAGAAACAATTTAATATCTCAGGATCCCGTCCTCCAGCTGGCAGCTCCTGCCTCTTCAGCAGCATGGTGGGCTGAATTGATGGCTTGTGTCTTGTGCTCCGAGGGCTCAGCCCTGGTTGGCAGCAGGAACACATGAATCTGCGCCTGCCCCTCTCCTCCTGGGGTTGCTGCCTGTGTGTACCGAGGGGAGAGGAGCCCCAGTTCTGATACTGGGAAGGTGCAGCTGAAACCAGCGTGCCAGGTGTCGTTAGTGCTTTATTCAGAGGTGACTAAGACGGAAGGATGACGCCAGCTCAGTCAGTGTTACTTCCTGTAGCACCTGTTTTTCTCAACTCCAATAAAGAGATGATTAACTAGGGTTTGCCCTCCTTCAGTGTGAGCTGAATCACTGCTTAGAGGATAGTGTGACTTTAGATGGTTTTCTGGATTAAGAATCACATTTTAATTGCCTTCTCTGTGAAAGGGCAACTCCTGTTGGCTCTGCCCAAACGCCTGAGAAGCCTGCGCAGCCCTAGAGGGTTCAGTTTCATTTCCTGGTGCACTTCGCTTATTTAAAGCAACGAGAGCACTTAGCTATTAAGAAATAATGAATTATACATTTTGATACTGTAAAATGTGGCACCTGCAAAACCCTGTTTTCTCACAGCATGGTTAGAAATATTATCATGTCCAGGATCAAAGTGCTGCTTGAACAAAGGCCTGATGACATGGGGCTTTATTAGGATTTGCTGAGATATTTTGTCACGGGACTGCTATGTATGTGTTTAAGTACTCCACGCACACTCACACCTTCACCCACCCACTTTGTGGGGTAGTTGGTTAAACCATGATGCACAAATATAAATACTCAGATAAGACACAGTTTCTTTACTTTAAAAAAAGTTTGACCATTTCTTGGGAAGTTTAGCTGCAGTGGTAGTGAATATCATCAGTTTGATTTCAAGTTAGGTTATTGTTACAGGCTGTAATCCATATTTCTGATAATTTGTGGGCATAGTCTGTACCTCCTGAAATAGCTGTTTTGTATGCATATATATGGGGAAAAAAGGTGTAAAGGTTTTCCTAAATCATTGATGTTTTTGAAATGGAGGTTTACAGATGTCACTCTTGTAAACTTTTGCACATTTTGCTTTTATAATTCAGAATTTACTTTTCACTAATAAAGTAGTAAAACAAGGAAAGAGACACATTTGCCATGCTGAAATGCTATGTATCTTAACACGTTCAGAGTTGCAATGGAAGTCCTAAGGAAAATGCTATTTCCTTTTAATGAAAGTGATTGGGTCATCATTATTCTTGGACTGAGCATTTCCAGCCATAAGCAAGGCTTGCAGTTCTTTTATTCAATAGACCTTTGGCTGACTTCACAGCTTAAAGATGCATGTCTTATTGCAGCATATTTTAAGCTTGGCAGGAAACAGTATTGCAGTAGATTCTCTCTGCACCAAACTTCTGCTTTATCAAGCAAGAACCTTTCCTCATACAAAGGGGGTGGGGAGAAGCTCGTGTTCCTTACCTGAGAGGTATATTTCTTATTCTTTGCATTGTACTAATGCTCATTTTGTGCCACTATAAACTGTGTAAGATCTGTCATAGCCTTCTTGTTCCCATTTAAGCTCCTCTTGTTATCGGTCACTGAAACTTGAAACATGTCATGTTAGACATTCACCTTTTTGAATAGTCTTGTTTGTTTATTTTTTTATTACTTACAGGCAGTTTAAAGAGAACCTTCTGCTCAGCTTGCTTGTACAGTTTGTGCTTTTCAAATTTGTTGTGCTTTTGTTAGCTTCTTGGTGTTCTTGAATCCTACAGCATTCGTAGCAGTCATATTTAAGGTCTGTTGGTAAAAGTTACAGGATTTGCAGGCTGCGAGCACGTGGAGCAGTGAGATTCCTGTGGGAATTATGAACCTTTGTCTGTCAGAGCTTGTAGCTGTGCAGATGGCTGTCACAGTTATCCAGTACCTGAGATTTTTGTAAAGTTCTTCAGTTAAAACCATAAATGAGGAGCATTGTCATGCCTACACTTGAAAGTCAGATAGCAAAGATTTGGGTATTTCAGTGGAGTATGAGGATATAGATATGTCTCTGCTGCCCTAATGTAAATTTCTGTTTTAAAGTGCAGAAGTAGAAAGTGTAAGTATTTTTGGTAAAACTCAACCGTAGCTGATGCAAGTTGATATTTTCAGGTAGTTTGTGAGAGTATTGGATCTTGAAGGAAACCAGTTTTGTTGGTAGGTTTAATAATGAATTGCAAAATGCAAGCAGTATTTTCATTTAAGGAATGTAACATAATGTAATCACAGTCTAAAAAAATCTTAAACTGTTACAGCAGAATTTGCTAGTTTAGAACAAATGTCCTACTTGTTACACAGCTGTAAGTGCAGAAATAAACCCTTGGCTGGTGTGTCCTGATATATCAACTGGTTTCAGGCTGACTGCCTTTGTAAAGGGCAAGTTGCAAAAAAAGCCAAGTCAGTACTTTTAGTGCTCTGTTCTCTGAGAGGCGTTTTCCAAAACAGGTTCCATTGGAAAAAATGACCCCTTACTTAAGCTTCCACGATTTGATTCACAGTGAGAAATCAAAGTAAGATGCTCAGTTGTGTTTGACTTACCTGTTGTGGAAGGGTTTTCTGTGAATACAGGTTCACAGGCAGGCTCAAGTGATCAGGCAGCCTCTCTGTAGATCACACACCAACAAACAGGTAATTCTTGCTGTCTGCTTAATGTTCCAAATCACTGTTCGTGTTAGTAAATATTAAACATGAGTATGTCAAAGAAAATGGAGATGGATAATATTAATCTTCAAAACATGTACATGGAGTGCGAATGCCTTTAAAATGTAAGTGCATAATGTTTCTGGAATTTTGAAATGCTAAATACTGATTTCTGTTTTCAGCACCTCATCTCGTATTGCTAAAGGAATAGAGTACACCAAAATGAGCCTCCATGGTGCAAGTGGACATGAGAGATCAAGGGACAGACGCAGATCAAGTGACAGATCTCGTGACTCATCCCATGAAAGAGCAGAATCTCAGCTCACTCCATGCATCAGGAATGTTACTTCGCCAACAAGACAGTATCATTCTGGTGTGTTCAACTCTATAGCCTTTCAGGATTAAAATTCTCAACATTAATTATGATTTTGTTAATAAAATAAAATAACAGGCATTATTTGTTGATGACAAAACATACAGATTTCTTACATGTTCCCTGGGCTGGAAGTATTCTTTTTTGATAGGTCATAACTTTTTCTTTAGTCTTCACTGTGTTTTCCTATATCATGCTTGTACTTAGTTCAGATCACAAGAACAATCATTTTTTTTAAAAAGATAGACTATATGTTTCCTGTGTATTTGGTAGGAGTTAGGTATTTAGAAATAGATGAAACATTTCTCTGTGTTTTTTTTTAGAGTGATAAAACTTGGTTTGTTTCTTTGAACTACAGCCCTAAACATCAACTGTGATGCATAGCATAATGTGGAGTTGATTTTTCCATACTAGAATGTTAATTTTTCTTCTTGTAAGAGGAGGCGAGGTGGCTTTGATGTCTAAGTGGTAAAAACTTTAGGTTCTTATATATGGACATTTATTTTTGAAGGTTTCTTTAACTAGAATAGATTTAACTGAAAGAATTTGTACCTACCAAGTTGACATGTTTTGTGCCTGGCAAGATGTAAACTGCATAGAGCTCATCTAAATCTATAATTTCATTTCCTGTTTTTTCTCCTTCTCCCTTTCCCCCCCTTAAGATCGAGAAAAGGATCACAGTTCATCTCGACCAAGCAGCCCTCGTCCTCAGAAGACCTCCCCCAATGGTTCTGTTGTTAGCATGGGGAACAGCAGCAGAAACAGTAGCCAGTCAAGTTCAGATGGGAGCTGCAAGGCTGGTGGGGAAATGGTATTTGTGTATGAAAATGGAAAAGAGGGAGCTCGGAATGTAAGAACTTCCGAACGAGTAACACTCATAGTGGATAACACAAGATTTGTTGTGGATCCTTCTATCTTTACTGCACAACCTAATACAATGTTGGGCAGGTTTGTATTTTTTTGTTTTTTGTCCTTAATGTCTAACTGTGTGAGAGAGCCATAAATGCTTTGTAGATATTAAAACTGTTTAAATAGCTGCTGAGCTCATATTGCTACAGCTGATGTGCTAACGTGTAATATTATCAGTTTGCAAAGGTCTTTAAGTAAAACTCAGGTTGTTTTCCTCCATTTGGCAGAGATGCTGGTAGGTGTCTATTACTTAGAGACAAAAGGGTTTTAGTAAGTTCATATTTCATGATGTACTTCCTTCTGTCTTGTTGGGTGTTGCTTCTTTATTCAGTCTGCCTCATTCCAGCTCTTGTTTTTAAAGGTGGTTGCTTCATAAAGCAAAGTAGTGAATAGAGAAGGTCACTTTTGAAATAGCAGGGAGGAAAACCATGAAGGAATTTATTTTATTTAATGGACCTACCCTGACTACACGCAAGCTCAGCACCAGGGCTGTTTGTCTTCTGAAACACTTTTTGGACAGGGGAATGTAAAATAGCTGGTTGGCATAAGAAATCAGCCTCTCAGCAGAAAGGTCTAACACTTGAAATGGTCTCTAGCTGAGGCAAAGTCCACAATGTGTGTAATAGTTTCAGTAGAATCTATAATGAGCAACATATTTAACATGTTTACTTGTTGGGAAAAGACTCTGTAGTTGCTCAAATACTGACTGGTTTTCCATTGTCCAAATGTAGAGAGCACCACTTACAAACTTGCAGCAGAAAGAAATGAAGGCTTATGTCTGTGGATTTGGCTTTTTAATTAAAATATGGCTATTTCTCAGCCCATAAGGATATAATCATATTTAAAATACAGACACACACAAATAAAGCTGGTTGCCCAGGTATGGGTAATAAATATGATTAAACAGTTTCTGCTTTATTTAAACCACCACCTTGTGGAATAAATAGTACCAATTTCCTCTGTTTTGTGAAAAGCCAGAGAAGAATTCTCTGTGTAAACTGTAAATTGAAATAAGGAAGTAATAATTAATAGAATTACATATGCAAATACCTTCTACCAATTATTTATAATACATGTAAATATCCAGACTAACAAAGTGGGTGTGTGTCAGTGTGATGTTATGCAGTGAAAGAATTTACTTTTCTGTGCCCAACCTCAGAGTAGGTGGTGCTGGCTAATGCACTAGATTTTGGGGGGGGGAGGGTGTTGCTGAGTTATTCTCCCTTTGGGACTGATTTAAGGAGCAAGCTTATTTTATCTTCTGATAATTCAAAAGTAGGTTAATAAAGAGATGGAAATACTGTTCTAAAATGCAAGTTATTTATAAAACCACTTTCCCCCAATGTCAGTTCACAGGACACTGATCAGGAACAGCTTAGCTAGTATGTTCTGGGAGGTAAAAGCAACTATAATAAGAATGTATTATTTGCCTTAAGCCTTCTTCCTCAGTGCCATTTCTTGTCTTGAAGAGTGGTCAGAAAATGCATGTAAAATCATGAAGTGAAAAAAGTTACTCTGTTCCCCATTATAAATACACACAATACACCAACTCGTTTACTTTGGGCTGTGTGTATGAAAGCAAAGCTTTGCAGTCAGGGTGTATTTGTAAGTAGAGTAGATGGCAATATTTTTTGTAAGCATAGGGTGTAATTCTCTATCAGAGGTGTGTTTTAAAAAGTCAGATACTGCTTGGCATGTGTAGTTTTCTCCTTAGTCTAACTTTCCTTGCATCCTAGCAAGGAGAAATATGCTGTACGTGCTGCCCTTAGGTATGGGTGTCTTCTATCAGAATGCTATTTTACTTTTAAATTAACTAAATTGCAAATAAAATTGACTTGTATGTACTTGAACACTAGATTCTGTTTCTTAAGCTACCTCAAATGTGTTTTAAACACTGAAAAATCTGCAACAAAACTTATTCTTCTGCTATGTTACCCCACAAATGCCAAAGATGACTTGTTTTGGGTTCATCCCACCTTTGGCATTGGCAGGAAATGGCCTGGTCTAACTTTTATTTTCATTGAAAGATACTGGCAAGTTAAGACTGAAGACTGAAACTAGCCTTGCTAACCATGAACCACAGTAAGCTGTGTATGTGCACAGGAGATGTACAGCAGGAAAAGCCAGTCATTCTAATTTCTGCCATTTTACTTTTCAGGATAAAAAAAAAATCATAGTAAGGAATTCTAACCAAAACACTTTTATTCTTGAGCAGGATGTTTGGATCAGGCAGAGAACATAACTTTACACGTCCTAATGAAAAAGGAGAGTATGAAGTTGCTGAAGGAATTGGTTCCACTGTGTTTCGTGCTATTCTGGTAAGTTTTCAGGGGCAATTACTGTTAGGACAAGCACTGTGAGTGTTAGGAGGTATAACTTATGGATTTAACATTATTTGCATATCTGGACTTTGTGGATGGAATAGATCCTGTTCTTCTGTATTGTCCTCTAGATGGGGAAAAAATGCTTGATATGAAAAGGCTTGTAGGTTTTCTAGATATGTGCATGTGACAGCCAGGGATAGAGAAAGCATGTGTGAAGTGAACTAAAAAACCTACTGCCTGACAGACATTTGTTCACCTTCTCCTGTGCATCTAGTTCACCTAGTTCAGATATGTTCAGCCCTTCTTGTGCTGAAATTAGGTGAAATGGAGTACTGGAAGCTAACTTAGTGCAGGTAACAGGAGGAAAAGCAAACTTTAGTCTGAGAAGAAAATGGCCCCTTATATCTACACAAACAAGTAAGGCTGCTATGCTGCTCTGTTAGCAGAATTGGAATAGCAAAACTGAATGAAGTGTAGATAAAAGTATGCACCTACCAAACTGATCACTAATAACAGTTGTAATTTAAATAACTACTTTAATCAGTGCTCACTGCTCTGAAAGCAGCTCAGAAAATTGATAAATTTGAGGACAGTAAAATTAATGAAGTTTAACCTGTGTTGCTCTCTTACATTTTAGTGGGTTTGCTTGTGGAGAAGGTATCATAAACGAAAAAATGTTTCTATCAATGAATGTTGAAGTGCATTTTACATTTTCTTTGCTGCATTACTGTAGGATTACTACAAGACTGGAGTGATACGCTGTCCTGATGGGATATCTATTCCTGAGTTGAGAGAAGCATGTGACTATCTCTGTATCTCTTTTGAGTATAGTACTATTAAATGCAGAGATCTCAGTAAGTACAGAATATATTAAAATAATCGGAATTACACAGACTATCTTAAGTAAATATATGGAGGGTGGGTTAATGCCAAATTGTATTCTTTAGGTAAGGAACATCACTGACACTACATGAGCAAAATCCATCCCTTTTTACCTCTTACGTAATAAGGACCCAGAGACAATTGACGTGTACCTTCTGAAGAACGTTTCTCCTATCTCAGTACATGATACTCGGATATTTTCTTGCTGTGGTCAGCTCTGTGGAGTCCTTAAACTCTGTTGATGCCTTGGCACCACAGATGCAGTAACATCAAGTGGTATCTTTTTTTGCAGGGAACAAGGAGGATAATTTATTTAACTGCTTACTTAGGAGAATTAAGCTCTGTTGCTAGGAAAAATAGCACAGCTTTGCTGGTGGTGTAGGGAGCCTTGTGGTTCCCAGTGTGTAGTGCCTCTTCAGCTTGTTCCTTTCCTGAGCACAGCCAAACTTTTGGCCAGTGTTTGAATGACCTGGCCTGTGTCTTCAGGCCCTGTGATCTCATGGTGTTTGTGCAATACAGGGCCAAGCTGTGCCACTCCAGCTGTGAGAGCTGTGCGGGGCACCTGCGCCTTCCCCGTGGGCGCCGCGACCTCGCTGCGTGTCGCCTGCTGAGTCACGCTCCTGGTGCACTCTGTCCTCAGCACAAGGATTTAGCAGCTCATGCTGTGAGGGTTTTGAGAGGCTTTGTTTTTTAAGCTACTGCGTATGAAAAGTGGGTTGTGTGTTTTACTCTTTCAGCAACTGGCTTAAATAATGCTTCTCTTGGGAAGCCAGAGAGGAGTCGTACCCACAATTACCGAACGTTCAGCAGTAAAGGAGCTCTCATCAAAGTCTCCCCTCTCTCTGCCCAACGTTATGTTAATATCTGCAGGACTGTCCTATTAGTCTGAACTTCTGGTCAGGCACCTGGTAAATGTTTTGAAAGGTCTGATCTTAGACAAACTAATAGGCTATATGTCCTTAAAGCTATCTGCAGAAAATACTGCAAATAAACAGAACTGCTGCGTTTTGTAGTCGTGCCTTCATTTTTTTTTTTGTACTGAGCTCTCAGATGTGTCTATGCTTAAAATTTTGTTCCAGGTGCTCTCATGCATGAACTATCAAATGATGGTGCTCGCAAACAATTTGAGTTTTATCTAGAAGAAATGATTCTGCCATTAATGGTAGCCAGTGCCCAAAGTGGTGAGAGGGAGTGCCACATTGTTGTGCTGACAGATGATGATGTTGTTGACTGGGATGAAGAGTATCCCCCTCAAATGGGGGAGGAGTATTCGCAAAGTAAGTTTATTTTCATTGTTTCCACCAAGCCATGCTATGGTAGAAGTAGTACTGAAGATTTATGCTAATTTAAAAATTTGTGCTGATTTAACTTTTTTTTTACATAAGCACTGTTAGGAAAGTCTTTACAACATCTCTAATGCCTCACGGAAAAAAGCCGAACCTTAGTTTTGGTAGTTCTGCTTAATATTCTGCTTCACAGAAGCATATGTTGCATGTAATGTTCAAATCCAATGGAAAAGGGAAGCTAATTTTTATTATTAAGGTATCATCAGTCAATGAGGGGAAAGGAAGTAATTTTTCAGAAACAGCTTGATGAGAAAATTCATGGTTACTGTGGGAGAATTACGTGGAGTTTTGGGGGGGAGGGAAGGGTGGGAAGAAGTGTCTGTTAGTATTTTTGGAGTATAACACTTTGTTGTATAGGTGAGTTAAAGCAGCTGTGAATGGAGTGTCCTGCCCTGCATCAGCGCTGTCCTTGTAGCTGAAAATGTTCCTTCAGTGTGAAAACTTGAAATGCAGAGTTGTGGGGCCATGAAGGAGCTTGAGATACTCTTTGTACTCCAGTAGTATAAAATTATCTCAGAAGTCACTTCAAAAGTATTACAGCTCTGTTTGGCTGTTTTGGTTTTAATCATAGAATCATTTAGGT